TTACTTTATAGCTCAGGTGGTAATGCTTACAAGTATTTTAGATACTGGTGTCCAAAACTTAACCACCTATTCCGCAGACAAAATATATTTTCAAAGAAACATACTTATTCACTTGAATACACAGGGGTACTCAATGGATTACATTTTCCATTTTGTCTAAGCTGAAAAGATTCATGCAATTCATCAATGGGAAAATCTGAGATGTTCTGAAAACAAAATCCATTGAACAGTTGCTCACTTTCTTTCCCATTGTAAAACTATTGACTAATTCTATAATAAGTCCTAGAAGAAAATGCACTAGGTGCTGTAATGTGCTTCAGCACTTCTTACCACACCAACCTTCCTTTCTATTACCAAATATCACTATGATCTGAGTGAAGATAAGAAGTAAGTGTGTGTGGTGGGTGGGGAATAACTGGGGTGACTTCCAGATAATAACTTCCAGATCATAGGAGTGCATGGCCAACATGAAGGGGACTACCCGAGAAGCATATGTATAATCTTAATAAAATACATTTTTGGACTATTACTCCAATTACCATAATATTCTGAATAATAAGATATAAAATATGTATGTATATACTATAATTCATTGATCTATTTCTTAAATTATTCAGCAAATCTTCATAGACTATATGATTTCACCACTGAAAACCAGAAACACTTTTTCTGGAGAGCAGATCTATAGTAATTATCTAATCATGAGATCTACAGATTAGATTGACATCTGGAGAGTGCCTGGCACATGGCACTGAGATCACTTCTATCAAGTGAATGAATTTGGACACATTGTTTCAGTAAGCATACATTCCACTTCTAGTGTCATAGAAGGGACCATGACTTTGAAGTTCATGCTGCATTTTAGTAGTTGATGATTTTTAAGAAAATTATATGAATAGTAGTGCCTTAAGCCCCTCAATTAGATAACATGGATAATGTTCCTTGTAGGGTTGGTATGTAGTTTTTTGTTAATTTTGCTATATCTATACATATATAATCGCATTAAAATCTAACAATAAACTTCATGGACTTTAGCCTGCCAGACAACTCTGTCCATGGAATCTCCAAGCGAGAATACTGGAATGGGTAGCCGTTCCCTTCTCCGGGGGATCTTCCCAACCCAGGGATCGAACCCAGGTCTCCTGCACTGCAGGCAAATTCTTTATGAATGAACCACCAGGGAAGCTCAATCTTTGGACACACGTATTATTATTATTATTTTACATTTTATAGTTGCGGTAACTAAGAGCAAGAGGCCCACAGTCAAACAAGCACTAGAGGCAGAATTAAAACCCAAGTCCTTTGGGTCTTAGACTCATGTTCAGAAGAAGTATGCTACCTCCATGGATGTTTCACCTGGGGATTTTTATACATCAGGGGAACATATTTGTCTCAACTTCCAATACCCAGATATTTTAATTTACAGAGTAGTTTTTTTGACCCTAAATATTTATAGTAAGTTGGTTTCCATACACAGACACAAAAATGTCCATAAAAACAAATCAAAAGGAAGTTTCTTTGAAAACTGTCAGTGTAATGTACACTAAACAAAAATCCTCAGTTGAAACTATTTTTGAACAATTTCCATTAATGCTAGTTGAAATTCTCATATTGATGCATAAAATGTACATATTCTTATTCTCTACTTTTTTTTTCTACCTCTCCACTGTAGTAACATACCAAAGTTCTAGCTTTTTAATTTGAGCATTCATACATGAAAATTGGTCATTTTTCTTGTGATTACATATATAAGTTTAATACAGCTGAAGCCTCACTTTTTGGAAAACAGAAGCAATTTCACTGCTATTTAAAAAGAATGAAAACTGAATTTCCTGGATTAAGTTAGTGATTTGTTTCAAAAGCTGAGCTTTTTCTTTTCTCAGTATTTGCCACTTTAATAATATCCTTTTAACAAATATGATAACTATTAAAAGTGGGCAAGATGGCTCATAATCTAACTTCTATAAGCAAACACAATAAGTATTAAGCGAGTGGTATAATTTTCCTATGTCCATGATTACAATGAATTATCATGCATAGGGATACATGTATGGGATAAAAATATAATTTTATTAATGTATGCCAGAAATATTTTTGACAAGTCTCTAAATACATGGGGCTATAGTATCATCTTTAAGGATAATTTACAAAAAGTAAGTTAAGAATTTGCTTCAGTCCACTGAGTCAAAATCTGGAATGCTAATTAACTTAAACTTATCTATTAGTCTAAAAAATAATGCATGATTTTACCAATAAATAAAACTAAGGGATATTACTGCCTTTATTTCACTAACATCAAAAGATGACTATGTTACTATGTATCATTTTTTCATATCAACATGCCGGTCATGGAAAGAACAGCTCTCACTCTTGTAGAAGCTTCTCAGGCATTAGAGAAAATGCCACCCAATCTGACATTCTATCATAGTGAGAAATAGAAAGGCATCCATTCATGCTTTCATCCATTCATTCATTCAGCAAAGAATTATTGAGTCTTTATTATCTTTATGCTATATATTACACTAGGATCTAAGAAGGCAGAAATAATGTTCAGATGAAAAATAATAAAAAGATAAGTAAAGCAAGATTACTAGCTATAAGGCACTTAGACTCTAATGTATAAGATGATATGTATATAATGAAGTAAGTTAGTAAAGCAAAATGACATGCTAGTAAAAGCATGGTAAAAACAATGCAGAAAATAAGAAATAATAACATGTAAGAAAGGGAAAAAAATGAACTTTGAATTGCTATGTCACTATCAAAATTCAGACATTTATATCTTAATTTTCCATTATATTTTATCAGGAGGAACAATATTATTACTGTTTCCATTAATTCAAGGAAATGGATGGGGAAACAGTGAAAACAGTGAGAGACTTTATTTTTGGGGGGCTACAAAATCACTGCAGATGGTGACTACAGCCATGAAATTAAAAGATGCTTGCTCCTTGGAAGAAAAGCTATGACTAACATAGACAGCATATTAAAAAGCAGAGACATTACTTTGCCAACAAATGTCCATCTAGTCAAAGCTATGGTTTTTCCAGTAGTCATGTATGGAGGATGTGAGAGTTGGACTACAAAGAAAGCTGAGCACCGAAGAATTGATGGTTTTGAACTGTGGTGTTGCAGAAGACTTTTTTTTTTCCCCTTTCTTTTTTTTTTTCCCCTTTCTTTTTTTTTTTTTTCCATTTATTTTTATTAGTTGGAGGCTAATTACTTTACATCATTGCAGTGGTTTTTGTCATACATTGAAATGAATTAGCCATGGATTTACATGTATTCCCCATCCTGGTCCCCCCTCCCACCTCCCTCTCCGCCCTATCCCTCTGGGTCTTCCCAGTGCACCAAGTCCGAGCACTTGTCTCATGCACCCAACCTGGGCTGGCGATCTGTTTCACCCTAGATAATATACATGTTTCGATGCTATTCTCTTGAAACATCCCACCCTCGCCTCCTCCCACAGAGTCCACAAGTCTGTTCTATACATCGGAGTCTCTTTTTCTGTTTTGCATATAGGGTTATCGTTACCATCTTTCTAAATACCATATATATGTGTTAGTATACTGTAATGGTCTTTATCTTTCTGGCTTACTTCGCTCTGTATAATGGGCTCCAGTTTCATCCATCTCATTAGAACTGATTCAAATGAATTCTTTTTAATGGCTGAGTAATATTCCATGGTGTATATGTACCACAGCTTCCTCATCCATTCGTCTGCTGATGGGCATCTAGGTTGCTTCCATGTCCTGGCTATTATAAACAGTGCTGCAATGAACATTGGGGTGCACGTGTCTCTTTCAGATCTGGTTTCCTCGGTGTGTATGCCCAGAAGTAAGTCTCTTAGACTGCAAGGAGATCAAGCCAGTCTGTCCTAAAGGAAATCAGTCCTGAATATTCATTGGAAGGACTGATGTTGATGCTGAAACTCCAATACTTTGGCCACCTGATGTGAAGAACTGACTCATAGTAAAAGGCCCTGATGCTGGGAAAGATTGAAGGCAGGAGCAGAAGGGGACGACAGAGGATGAGATGGTTGGATGCCATTACCGACTCAATGGACATGAGTTTGAGCAAGCTCTGAGAGTTGGTGATGATGAGGGAAACCTGGCGTGCTGCAGTCCATGGGGTCACAAAGAGTCGGACATGACTGAGACTGAACTAAACTGAACAATAAAAGTGCTAGTTGAAATAATTTAACTTCTAAACTAAGATAGATCTGCTCAGTTATGCAACTAAAAATGTAAAAGATGGATCAATTCATGACTGTCTTCAAACAATATTAAAAGTAATCAGTATTTCCTAGAGAAGAAAAAGATACTTTTAAAGAAAGGAGTTGTAAAAAAACAAATAAATAAAATAAAGAAAGGGAGTTGAAATGTCTTTTTTTTTTTTAGCTGAGTTTTGTACTGTCTTTCCTTTTATAATTGAGATCTATTCTTTTATCTGTATCAGTTATGAACATTTTTCTGTATATATCAATTAGATACACTTATACATATGAACAAACTGACAACATTCCCAGTAGGGGTGGTCATATATGATGCGCTCAGTGAGTTGAATATATTGGTATAGGGCTCCTAAAGAATTATATCAAGCCAACCCTTTGGCATTTTCAAGTAGAGGGCACTTTGTAGGGCATGTCACAATTAATTAGGTGGGATGGCATTCTATTTTTGCAAAGGTTTTGTATAGTTCACTACACACACAGACACACAAACTAACTAGCTGATAATGAAAATGCCCTTCAAAGAAGGGATGAAAGTTGGAGACTAGCTGCAGAAAGGAGGAAAAGTTGGATTCTCATGCCTATAAAATATTTTTTTTTTACAGTGATTAACAGCAACATTTTTCAGCTAAAAAGAAAATGAAGAACTTTCAAAACACAGGCCAGAAGAAAAACCAGGAGAAAGAAGTCTAATCAAAATATACAATAAACTTACTAAGTTCAAGCTGTAAATAGTTCCCTTTAAAGTACCATCAAAAGTCAAACTTACCCGATCTACTATCCAGAGGTCCAAAATCCAAAGAATATTTCACGACGTGGTAGTTATTCCATACATAAAGAAGGTTGTCCCTGGGGTTGTAATCCACAGCTGCTATGTACTGGTATGAATTAGGAAAGGGTACATCCACCAAACTGTCCTTACTTTGGTCAGTGTTGTAAATGTAGTCAATCTTATTTCCTGTGGCCTCATTGTCATCATCCTCATAGACAGATTTGACCACATACAGAATTCCACATATCATGAATGCATTGGAAGCTGACCTTTTATCATATGCAGTATCCCACGTCCCTTCAATCCGTAGGGTGTAAGGGTTCAATTGACTAATGACAATTTTACCATTGTTTTGTTCTGTTGCATAGATTACCCATAGCCCATTCTCATCCACTGCCAAGTCTATGTCAGATTTGCCTCCCCAGCGGTAAGGGGAGGTATCATGGTAATTGGCATTTGCTATGATAGCTTCTCCACTCTTTATCCTAGTCCGCAAATCAAACTTCACTATGTTTCTGGTGCGCTCTTTATTGAAGAACAAAGCTCCATCATACACTACAAATCCTGTGCCATCCACCCTGTGAGGGAGCTTGTAGGTGGTAGTTGGCCTTCCAGCAATGAAGTCATCCTTGGATGAGTACTCAGTCAGGGTATCAGTTCTGTAGGGGGTCCAGGGCATATAATAAATCTTGTCAGAAGCCTGCAGAGGGTCTTTGCACCATGCCCCAGACTGGTGGTCGGATTCAAACAAATGTTCACTCTGGTATACTCCTTTTAGTAGTCCAGGACAAAGAAAAACTGTCAATTGGGAAAGAGTCAAAATAATAAATATATTAATTTAAATATTTTGTCATATATTTTTACTTTTCACCGACTGGAATTCAACTCTAATAAGAAATACCCACCACCACTTAATTATTTTGCTGTATTCTTCTGAGAACGTATTTTTCCACATTAATTCTGACATTTCTTTAGAATCATTCTGATTTGATTTGCTGATGAAATTTGGCCTTTTCCTGAGTGGCTGTGCTTTTCTTTGCATTTTACCTTTGCAAGAGTGTTGCAATAATTTTGGATATGCTATCTATATAGACGTGACTTATGTCTGTGTATTCTAAAAACATATTACAAATATAAATATTTACATGTGATGGTTTCATATATCTTATTTGAAAGTTTTTTAAAAATATTGTTTTCACTCTTATGCTAGTAACTACTCTATACTTATCATTAAGAAGCAAATGAAAATACAATAGTAATTAAAATACACAATAAGGGAAAAGAAAAACCTTGTGATACAGGCCACTGAATCTTACAGGAAAAAAGCCCTTAAAGCTGCTACAGCACACACAGAGCATGCAACTCACACAATTAAAAATGAGTGATGGATGGATACTGGAAGGAAAAAGAGAAAGGAAGAAAAAGAAAGGAAAGAAGAAATAAGGGAAGAAGAATAGGTGAAAAGTTACAGAGAAGAACCCAAGATCTAGATTTTAATCAGTTAAAAATGTCCTGTTAAATACAGTAGAATTGGAACTTAAAAACATGTACCTTTTACTGTTACATGAGAAGAACATTAAAAAAACAAGATTACTTGCTACAATATTTTGCTGCTCATACTTCAGACTGAAAATGGGCAGGAATTGTCTGATTCATTTTATTTTTAATATGATTCAGTAGCACATCATGTGAGTGGTGGTAAGGAAAGCTTGACTGATTCATCTGTAACAATGGGGCTAAACAGCAATGTTTCCCAAAAGGAGGTTCTTGAAATACCTATTTATATGGCTTAGATATATAATACACAGAAAAAAAAAAAAAACCCACAAAAACAGGGATTCCTAGCCACACATGCTTAAGAAATATCTAACTAAAATAATATCAAGATTCTAAGTGCTGAGGTACATTAGTGACTCTTCAAGGTAGAAGAGGGGAGTGTGAGCAAATTTCCAGAAATTAATTTGATCACAGAACCCTTTCTACAGAGCCTGATGGGATGTAATTTTCTCTTGAACCTGCTATGGGAAACACTGCTCCAATATTTTTGCAGAGCAAACACATTGAAAAATAATCATGCAGTCCACTGTTATGTTTGAAATGATTAGAAGTATATTGGGAAGATAAATTAGGAAATCACAAGAAATTTGGAGGTTGACCCGTATTTTAATGATTAAAGTATTATTCTCTTGATATTAGTGATTAGCTCTTTAACAGCAATTTTAAACTTACATCTAAGAGAAAATCTAAGATGAAACTCAACTAGGGTTTGCAGGTTATTAAAAACAAAAGTACATTGTTAAAATGTCCAGAGTTTCAATTTTGGGAAAATGAGACATTTAGGGGGAAATTTAACTGTCAAAATCTTCCATAGCAAGGATAGAGGGCCATCATCAAATTATACTTAATAATAAAATTCATTATTGGAAGAATTTTTCAGGACTCTAATATAATGTCTGGGCTTCCCAGGTGATGTTGGTAGTAAAGAACCCACCAACCAATATGGGAAACATAAGAGACTCAGGTTCAATCCCTGGGTCAGGAAGATCCCCTGGAGGAGGAAATGGCAACTCATTCCATCTTCTTGCCTGGAGAATCTCATGGACAGAGGAGCCTGGCAGGCTACAGTCCATAGGGTCACAAAGAATCGGACACGACTGAAGTGACTTCGCACACACACAATATGATGTCTATAATTATAAAGGATGGATAGGTATTATTGTCAAAATTGTATATAAACTTAATGTTAGTTAATAATCAGCCCTTGCTTACAAAAGCAATTAATTTTAATGTATTTCAGAAAACCGTCTCCCCTTTTCCCTTAATAGTTAAAAATCAAAGAACAGGGAATTGCTCCAGAGCTATGGAAAATTATCTAGTATAGAAAATAAAAACAAATCTGAAGCAGTCATTATGCATCAGCATCTACTGGATTTCTAACTACTCATTTAAAAATAAAGAGGAATAAAATGCATGGTTGAAAACTTTACAGTATTAAACTGTTTTAGGATAAAAATAATCAAACCGGCACTGGTCAGTACAACAGATTAAAGTGAAGTTGAGCAGCAGAAGTAGTAAATAAATTTTCAGAAAATAGATAAAAATTAATAACAATTATTTTAACTAGATGTTAAACTGTTAAATAACTTAGCCTATAAATAGTATATAATTTATGAAAGGTATTTAATTACCTTTTTGTTCCACTTCTATTGGAGAGAGAGAAGTAAAGAGAGAAAGGAGAAAAGAGAATAGATTAATGGTACGATATTGGCCAAGCACTTTTTATTCACCTCTTGCAAACTGAAAGTAAATAATTTATTGCACTCAAACTTGATTTATTGAACATTATGTTTTTCTTAAAAGAACCCATTCCTCTATAAAATTATTTTTTTAAGAAACAACCACATTATAAGCTTAAAAATACAGTACAAGCTTGAAAAAAAATCAGGCAAAAGTTAATCAAGCTAAGATTGAATTAACATATCATTCCAAACTATAGACACAGGAAATACAATACTCATAATAATAACACAAGGATTTTCTATTTGAAAGATAGGTTGGTAATTATACACAGAAAGCTTTCAGATAGTTTGGATAGTCTCATTTATTAATTATTGTTTATACCACAGCTTAACAAAATAGTCTTGCTTTTTACCCATCTCAAGAATTGATCTCTTTGGAAGAAACTACTTTGTAACTAATTTCTTAGGGCCTAATATTTTCTATAGTTAATGAGAAATGTACCTTGTGAGGTGACCCATTAACAGGAAATTCTGTCATCCTGAATAAATATATTTAGAATCCTTACTGAAGAAGCTTTTCTTCCTCCCACTCATCAATATTTTATATTACTGTGGAAAAATACTATCTTCAGGAAAATATATATACAAAGGTTGATACAAATAATAAGCCACCTGCTCTGGGCTTTTCTGAAATTCTAAAGCAAGTCTTTCAACAAACTCTTATAAGAATAAATTGAGATTCTCAAACATGTTATAGTTATGTATCTTTCAAATTAGATTCCATTATTATTTTAAGGTATCAATTATTACAAGTAGAGGAAAATTCTGGGAAACTGTAACATATTCATGAAACTCATCAAGCGACATCTTCTTTTTCTAATTAATATTGGTCTCATTAGGGAGAATTTGCCGAGGTCACAACAAGGAAACAAACAAACAAAAAAAGGATCAATGGGGAAAAAAACAGGGAAAGACTCAAGAAAGAACGGGCTCATAATACAAACATTAAAAAGAAAAAATAATAGGCTCCAAGTGATATAAATCTAAGATAATTTCAGTGGAAGGGATAAACTGAGCTACTATGTACAATAAATAAAACTCTAGGAAAATTTTAAAACAAAGGAGAAATCTTTTTTTGGATATTTACTTCCAGGTAAGATTTTGTGCTTTGACCTAAGCTCATGTCTTCAATTACCAGCAAAATCACACTCATTTCTCTCCTTGACTTTTTTGAAAGCTCAAAATCACATGTGTTAGAAGACATAAATGGTATATATGAAAACTTATGTTTAGGAAGTTGTAAATGGGGTTATCCTTTTTAACATATGTCTTTAATTTACAAATCTTATTTTTAACAGTATTTTTAGGACTTTTAAAAAAAACTCTATGATACTCATATTATTTTTTACTTATCATCATCATCAATTAAACCTATATCAAGTAAATATAGTATTTACTGGACTGTATACTTCAATATAGTTCACTTAACTACCTAAGAGATGAACTTCTTGCTATGATTAGATTACTAACAAACCTGAGCTCAGACTGACAACTAGAAGAAATGGAAGTAAGAGCTTTAAAAATTAATCAATAGTCTCAGAAAGTTTGTACTGGAGGATCATTTCACAATGAAAGTAGAGGCTGAGAGTGGGGTCTTACACTGAAGATAACATCTGTCAAGGACTAGCCTACCAAGGGATTAATAGAACTAATTTCGTTCTTTGAAATAGTTCTAGATATATATACTTTGGATTATACATGAAGCTTTTTATATTATACAACATAAAATGTACAATCATACAACTTTAGTTTTATTCCATATAAAATTCATCTTATTTTTGTGTGCAATTACCCTAACTTCTTGGTGGCTAGTATTTCTCTCTCCAACAAATGCTTAATGAGCAAGATGGATATGTGACAAAAAGTATTAATAAGGTATTTATTACAATTTATAACTACTACCTTACAATTTAATGGAGATTTTTATTTTTCAAATAAATTTTACCTTTATTTTCTCAACAGTCATTAGGTAAAGTTTAACTTTTAATTCTCTGGTCCTGGTTTAATTTGAAGAAACTGTCATAAACTGCAACCCAAGTAAAGTGTGCCTCTGGCACTGCTTGTGACTTAAAATTAAGATTTATTAGGCAATTCTATTTCAGAAAAAATTATTATGGTGTTGCTTATGTCATGACTGGCTGTACCTCATTCATCATTCACTTGCCATTTCTAAGACTAAAGTAAAACAATCCAATCATTTAAGTTGAAATAAGTACATACAAATCTTATTCCCATAACAAAAAACTAGTATGGCAAACATAATTTGTCACTGAAAAGCTAAGTAACATTTAGGATTCTCCAGTTACTGTTCATCATCTAATTCTGATTCTAGAAGCTTCCCTCACCTGAAGAAATATATGCAAACAAACTGCCTGCAGATAAAAACCATGCTTACCCCTGTATCCTTCACAAGCTCACAATGCCTGGCACGTAATGTATATTCAATGAACATCCGCTGAATTAATATACAATCCACATAGAGATAATTAATTCTGTTTTGTAGATATTTAAAGCATGTGATAAGAAGAAAAAAGGGCAAAGAAGAATTTGGATTTGCTATATAGAATGACACATGGGATGCATATCTGTATGATGTCTTTGAAAATTTTAAAGGATGGGAAGGAAAGTAAAATTTATAAGCAATTTGCGTCTTCAACTCATTAAATGTAAAACCAGAGGAAAAAAGGAAAAGAAAAAAAAAGCATGGTCTTGAGGTTATAATGGCAAGAGAAATTTGTCACTATAAAGCAGTATATGACAATCTAGAAACACAAGTGGAAAATACTCCCTTTCTTCTCTCTGTTATGGGGTCATGAATAAATGAATTGTATGATGACAACACTGCTAGGTCTTCTTCAGGACCTCTTGTCTGTCACTCTGATCCAGTATCCTGAATTCTGACATTTTAGCTGTTGCTGTTCATTTCCAAACCTCCTAGGAAGTAGTTTCTCTACTTTTCTGCCTTCAATTTTAATACCCAAGCTACTTTTTTCATTCATGCAACCTCCATAAATATGTTTATATATTGCCTTAAAGTGCTTTTCTTGTTGTCCTTCATCAAACTTAATGTTACAAGCTACATCCTGTGGTTAGCTACAGGGCAAATTCAAATTAAGGGTAACCCCATTCTGAATAAAAGGAAGAAACAGAAAGAAAAAAGACTAGCAAATCTCCCCTTCATTCCACAACAATTCATAAAATATAATACAGTCATGTTATTGCTTAGAAAAATAAGATGTTATTAGTTCTATATTAGTTCTGTTCATATCTGTACCATATGCAATATTTGGGATTGTGTTCTTTAATTAGAATACATATGGATGAGAGAGCATATGCATGCATTGCCAACTTTTTTCAAATAGTGTTACACATTACAGAGAAATAAAATTGTTGTATGCCAAAAATTGTTAGAACTAAATTACCATAACTGAGAACTATGAAATTGTATTTAATGCTAATGTAGCTGAAAATTTCTTTTCTCTGAAAGTCATACAACCCATTTTCTATCTAAAATTTAAACATTCTAAATGAGCAGAATGTTATGCAATAATGCATCTAATCTAATATATAGAAATGACATTTATGAAGAGAATATGATAGTTATAAAATATTAAACAATTATAAACAAATATTTTCATTATTGAAATGTAGTAGTATTTTGAAACAATCTCTTTTCTTGGTTATATTTGGCTTAGAGTATTAAAATGCATTTGGGTACACTTTTCACAGGACAGCAAAAACAACTCAGCAAAAACAAGACTGGGAGCTGACTGTGACTCAGATCATGAACTCCCTATTGCCAAATTCAGACTTAAATTGTAAGAAAGTGGAGAAAACCACTAGACCATTCAGGTATGACCTAAATCAAATCCCTTACGATAATACAGTGGAAGTGAGAAATAGATTTAAGGGACTCGGTCCGATAGACAGAGTGCCTGATGAACTATGGACAGAAGTTTGGGACATTGTACAGGAGACAGGGATCAAGACCATCCCCAAGAAAAAGAAATGTAAAAAAGGAAAATGGCTGTCTGAGGAGGCCTTACAAATAGTGGTGAAAAGAAGAGAAGCAAAAAGCAAAGGAGAAAAGGAAGGATATACCCATTTGAATGCAGAGTTCCAAAGAATAGCAAGGAGAGATGAGAAAGCCTTCCTCAGTGATCAGTGCAAAGAAATAGAGGAAAACAATAGAATGGGAAAGACTAGAGATCTCTTCAAGAAAATTAGAGATACCAAGGGAATATCTCATGCAAAGATGAGTTTAATAAAGGACAAAAATGGTATGGGCCTAACAGAAGCAGAGGATATTAAGAAGAGGTGGCTAGAATACAGAGAAGAACTGTACAAAAAAGATCTTCATGACCCAGATAATCATGATGGTGTGATCACTCACCTAGAGCCAGACCTCCTATAGTATGAAGTCAAGTGGGCCTTAGGAAGCATCACTATGAACAAAGATAGTGGAGGTGATGGAATTCCAGCTGAGCTATTTCAAATCCTAAAAGATGATGCTGTGAAAGTGCTGCACTCAATAAGCCAGCAAATTTGGAAAACTCAGCAGTGGCCACAGGACTGGAAAAGGTCAGTTTTCATTCCAATCCCTAAGAAAGGCAATGCCAAAGAGTGCTCAAACTACCGCACAATTGCACTCATCTCACACACTAGTAAAGTAATGCTCAAAATTCTCCAAGCCAGGCTTCAGCAATATGTAAACCGTGAACTTTCAGATGTTCAAGCTGTCTTAGAAAAGGCAGAGGAACCAGAGATCAAATTGCCAACGTCCACTGTGTCATCAAAAAAGCAAGAGAGTTCCAGAAAAACATCTATTTCTGCTTTATTGACTTTGCCAAAGCCTTTGACTGTGTGGGTCACAATAAACTGTGGAAAATTCTGAAAGAGATGGG